CTCACCTTGGGTTCTTTGGGCTCTCTTTCCTTTTTTGCTATTGAAGCAGAATCATGAGAAAGTCAGATATTTTAAAACACTGACTTAGCTCTCACCAAATTGGAAAATAAAGCTCCGATGGGGAACAGTGACTGGCAAGGTGCAGCCCACAGGTGGAGGTGCTTTTGTTTTGTTTTAATTTTTTTAGTTGTTGATGGACTTTGATTTTATTAATTTATTTATATGCGGTGCTGAGTGACTCAGTGACTCACGGCAAGCACCCAACTACTGAGCCACAACCACAGCCCCCTGGATGGTGCTTGTTTATAAGGGGTTTTCTGATTGTTTGCAAACCCCAGCCCAGGTACACAGCATCCTTCCTGTGACTTTGCAGATGATAAGTCACCCTTGAACTTGGCAGTGGAAAGCAGTCACCCACCGAGATGCACAGGAAGCTCTTCATGCATCCATAGAAGTGACTTCACTTTGGGGCTCTTCCCGGTTTGTGGGTCTCTGGGAGCCCATAGGGCCTCTTTCTGGTTCTGGTTCTGGAACCTTTGTCTCTCTCTTGGTCCCGGGTCTCCCCTGTGCATCTCTATTTTCGCTGTGCTCATTTCCATGTGTTCAACCTTAGAGATCCATTCCTGGGCCTGGGTGGGGCGTGCTCTATAAATAAACACCAGACTGAGGCACCCCTGCCATAGGACATACCCCTGACAGATGCCACCAGCCTCCGCCCAGGCCCAGGCAGATTCCAGTCTCCCTGCCACCCCCTGGGGAAAGGCCTGGGCTCCCTCCCGGTGAACTGGCTCTTCCTTTAATGTTCCTGGCCCTCCCAGTCCTGAAGCAGCACCTTGGACCAAGAAACATCACAGCTGAGGCCACTTCCAAGCATTTCTGGTGTGGCATCTGGTTCAGTTCTCCCAATCCACTAAGGCGGAGACTGTAATGACCTTACTTTGCAAAGGGGTAAATTGAGCCTTCAAGAAGTTAAGTCACTTGTCTGAGGTCCAAGGGCAAGAAGAGGATGTGAACCCCACGTTCTGACTTCTACACCAGACAGACTTTTGAACAGGGCTGCTCATCAGAATTAGGAGACAGCTACCTGTCCCCCCATAGCCTTCACGGATGACCCCCTCGACAGGCTCAGCACCACATGCCCATTCCACAAGTGCCTGCACTGATGGGCCAGCCCTGCCCAGGCCCCCTGGAGTGCAGCTCAGGCAGCCAGACTAACTGGAACAGCGCTTTGGCAGCTTTTGGTGCCTGACTTTTTACCTTATTTTAAAATTATATATATAATTCATAAATTTGCATACTGTATAATTTCAAACACTTCTCTTTTGTTCTCCAGTGCTCCCCCACCCTCTTTTATTGAATAGATCAAAGGATGGAGGTGCTCAGATCTCAGTGCAGAAAGGGATCATTCATTTTGTTTCTCCTTACTTGCCCCCACCCCAAAGCTAACTATCAAGACAAAACAAATAAACAGCGATGATGGTAACAAACAACAACAAACCCAAATACTGTGTTAATGAGACCCAGGTCCAAGGCATTCACTTGGTAAATAAACAGCAGGAGCAGGGAGAAAGGTGGCCCCCTCAAAGTCCCCAGCACTGCTTCCCTGGCCCTGGCCGGTTGAAGACGTCTACCTGTCACCCCTCTATTTACCACGACTTGTGCATACGTGTGTGCTCATTCCTGAAGGGCAGGAGGAAAACGCCAGCTGAGCAGCAAAGTAATAATAGCTGCCCCTGCCCAGAAGGACCGTGGCTGCTGGAAGAGGCCAGGAAGTCAGCCCCGGGCCTTGTTTCCCTGCCTGGGTTCTCTACCTGGAACAGACTCAGAAGAAAGGTCAGGACCCCTCTTCCCAAACTCAGAAACGCCAACCCATCTAGCCACCCATTCCATTGGGCCAGCCGAGCCGTCCAGGCTCGCGCGGGTGGATCCCCCAGGTCCAGTGAAGGACCTGGGTCGCCCTCGGCCTTGCGGGGAGTCGGGGGCGCTAGCGCCTCTGGATTGGTACGCACTTCGCGGGTGCCCAGGGAGTGGGCGCCGGCGGGGAGGAGCTTGTCGGCTCCCGGTGTCTCCTGTTTCCACCCGCAACCGACCCGAGACTTAGCGTCTTCCCGGGATCGCCTTCCGAGCCGCACCTCGCCAGCTGGGTGTGCCGGAGAGGGGCAAGAACAGCAAGGCCCTCCCCAAACCCGCGGGCCAGCCCTCGGCGCCCAAGTCTGCCGGCGCAGCTGGCAAAACCCCGCATCTCCCTGAAGACTGACTCCAGCTGCCTCCCGCCCCTCAAGCCGAGTCCCAGGCCGAAAGAACTCCGAGGGACCCTCGTGTCACAGTTCCAGCTCCTGCCCAGGCTCCCTCTCATCCCTGATTTCTAGCTTCAGAGACGCGAGCCCGGGCGCCTGCCGCCCAGCGATCCCTCCTAGAAAGCGGAGCGGGGCGGAACCGCACGGCGGACCCCTGGAGCGGGTTCCAGCGCTGCCTACCTGGTGCGGCAGGAGCCCGAGACATCCGCGTCCGAGCAGGCCTGGAGCTGGCCCCGGCTTCGCCGCGCACCCTGGGTTGGCGCAGGGCGGGCGCGAGCCGATCGCCGGCCTCTAGGCGGGTGCGGACCGGCGGCCGCGGGCCAGGAGGCAGGGCGGGCGGCCGGCCCGGAGGCGAGTTATATGGGCGCGGGGAGGGGAGGCGCCGCGGGGAGGGGGGCGGCCGTCAGCCTTAGCGCCTTTCGCAGCCCGGCGGCGGGAAGACAGCGCGGGCACTCAGCCGTGGCGCGAGGAGGGCCGGGCGGCGGGGCCCGGCTGGGGCCTTGATCTTCTACCCGTGCTCCGCCTCCCCAGCTGGCCGGGTCCGAGTCGGGGTCCCGGAGCGCACTCCGCCCCGCCTCTTTCCCGCCGCTGTTTGGCGCGCGTGGCCCCTGCTGAGCCCCGCGGGGTCGCTGGAGCAGGGCTGCACACAGGTCGGCGCCGGGGGCCCTAGGGCTAAGGAGACTGGACTGCGACCTTCGGCAGGTCTGAGGGCGCCAGCCAGGGCGCGCGCGAGCCGCGGTGGGGACAGGGTCATGGGGCAGACTCCACTCTTCTGCGTGCTGGATTACCTCCGACGGTCTCCTCTCCCCAACGCCCCGACACTCCATCTCCCCACGCTGCTCCCGCTGCCGTGCGTGTGGTCTCCAAGGGGAGAGAAAAGTGCACCACGCTGGGTAGGGATGCCCCACCCCGGTCTGCACTGGTTGTGGCAGACTGGGGACAGGGTTGAGGGCTGCGGCCCCAGGCCGGGGAAAAAGGGGACGCCACCCTCGGTTCGCGTCTCCTAGCCACAGCGGCTGCGGCTCGACTCCGCAGGCAAACAGGATCCCACAGAGATACTTTGGATATGACCATTCTCTCCCAGAGGGAGCTGTGTCCCACCGACCACAGGAATGACTCCACTGCACCCTGCTTGGTCCCTGGACGGTCGCCGCCTCCAGATCCTGGGCACCGATTCTATGACTGCGAAATCGTATAGTGGGTTTACTCGGCAACGCTGGTGCTCTTGAGCTTGAAATTGCTCTGGGTTCGCACACAGCTTTGGGTTAGTGGGCGACTCCGCTCTGGTCTGAGACACCTGCTGTGGTCGCAGCCGGCTTTTCCTGGGCAAATGAGAGCCTCAAAGGCCCTGATTCGGCTTCTTAGGGACTAGGCTGCAGGACCTGACAGAGGGCGAGTCTGACTTGCACTGCCTCCGATACTCATGGGACCCGTTACCTAGCTCTGCACTGATGCCCCTTTCCCATGGTGACCTCCATCCCTCGGGAGGTCCCCGMAGTGTGGCCCCTGGCATTGCCAGTGAGCTGGGCTGGTGCAAACCGGTTTCTCCTGGCACGGGGACCCCACTTGCCCTGGCCCTGCTGACTTCCATATATAGTTATTGCTCACTGTTTGCAAGGCTTGGTTTGGGAGTTCAAAAACCAATTCTACTCAGGGAGTTGGGTCTGGCTGGGGACCGAAAAGGTCAGGACGAGGGCAGGACGCGTTTAGGCACCCTAGGCGTTCCTTCAGGAGAAGTTGGATACACAGACGGGGGGGGGGTTGGGGGGCGCTAAGAGGTGCGAGCTGGACGCAGGCCGTGGCTCCTCTCTCAGAACACAGAGGATGCAGGGATTTGTGCGACCCAGAAGGCTGCGGAGGCGCAGCCTCTGTTGGGACCGGCGGGGACCACTAACGACTTGAGAGAGCGAGGGAGTTGGGAAGGTTTTGTCCCGGAAAGAGGCTCTGGGGTTGCGAGAGGACGAAAAGACATGGCACTCGGAGCGAGCGTCGGTATAAGCGAGTGCCCGCGCAGGGCCATCTCCGTGCCAAGACAGACTGTGGACTCTGGGTGCGGGCCCTGAAGCGTCCCAGTTCCCGGGCATCTAAGCCCAAGTGCGCTTGGAATGAAGTGCGCGCGATCCACACATTGGTTCGGCGGGGTCAGCCTCGAATTCGTTCGGTCTTTGATCTGAAAAGCCCCTGAGCATAAGAAAGTCACGCTGCAGGTAGTTGCTCGACTTAGTAAAAGAAAACAAAGACAGATACTTATTTATACGTTATAAATAAAATAATTGTGGCAGACACTGTTACATATTGAATATATGTACTAATATATAAATACATGTTTACAGAGAGAGAGAGAGCCCAGTTACATATTGAATTAAATTCGAATTTAGATAAGCCAGTACTCTGTCCCGCGATATTTGGGAACGTGCTTATATTACAAATGATTCGTTGTTTATCTGAAATTTGAATTTAGCCGTGCGTCCTGCATCTTGTCTGCCGCCCCAGCTGTCTGTGATCCGCGGTCTCGCAGACCCGACGTCGATATCTGGGACCCCGAAGGGATGAGCGGCGGGCGGCGCCTTTAAGCGCGGGGCGGGGCGCGGACTCCCGGCCCCACAATGCCGCGCGGCCGCCCGCAGCGCCGATAGGCTGCAGCCTCCTTCCACCGCCCCACTTCCGGCCGCCTTCCCCGCCTTACTTCCGGCCGCGGCCGGGCGGTTGCGGGCGGCGGGCTCCCCGCGGGCTGTCGGGCGCGGGTCGGGCCCGCGGCGGACGGCGGCCATGAACTTCTCCGAGGCGTTCAAGCTCTCCAGCCTGCTCTGCAGGTTCTCCCCGGACGGCAAGTACCTGGTGAGCGGCGGCGCGCGGCCTGCGCCCGCGGCGGGAGCCCGGGCGGACGCGGCTCTGGACTCCGGCACCGCGGGCTGAGCGGGGCGGGATCAGGCAGGAGCTCCGGGGTGGGTGCCCCGGGTCGGAGGGGTCCTGCACCGGCGCGCAGCCCCGGGCGGGAGGGACCCCTGGGCAGGTGCGCAGCCCGGGGCGGGAAGGAGACCTGGGCAGGTGCTCCAGATAGGAGGGGTCCTGGGCAGGTGCGCAGCCCGGGGAGGGAGACCTGGGCAGGTGCTTCGCATAGGAGGGGTACTCGACGATGCACAGTCCCAGGCAGGAAGGGTCCTGAGCCGGTGCGCGAGGGGTTCATGACGGTGCGCAGCCCTGGGCAGAAGGGCCATCTGGGCAAGTGCTTCAGTCTGGAGGTGAACCTGGGCAAATGTGCAGTTCCAGCGGGGGGGGGGGGGGCTGAACAGGTGTGCTGGACCCCGGGCTGTAACTCGGTGTGCAGATGTGCAACTCCAGGCAGAAGGGGTCCTGGGCTGGTTCTCCAGACTAGAAAGGGATCTGGGCAGGTGACTCCATATAGCTGTTTTTGGCTGTCAAAGGCGGATTAGGGATAAAGCTGTGTCTCTTTCACTCACTTGAGAGTCCAGAAGATGTTAGCTGATTGTTACTTTGTCACAAAAGTTGCCTGTTAACTGGTAAATAATATGGCTACTTTGTTGTCAACTCTCCTCCCTGTCCTCACCACATTCAAGTAATGTCCTCAAGGCTAGACTTGAACAGCTCATTACATGAGTGACAGTGCTTAAATTGCAGAGCTACAACTTCAAATTTTGAAATAAAGCAATATGACCAGTGTATATCCTAAGAAGTGGGGAGAATAATTGATATTGGGAAATGATTAAAGAAAAAACATCAGGCCTTAAAGAAAGTGTGCTTCATTTTTTTGTTTACTGCCCTGTATTAACCAATTGATGCTTTCTGATTCTTTTTCAGCTTGCACCTTTGTTAACATTCCTGTTATCTTGCATCTTTATTAACATTTCTGTTGTCTTTGTCTAGACCTTTGAGAATATAACTCCCAAAATGCATGTTTACTTTCTTTATGGAGGTATTATTCTAAATCACATAAAATAGTATTCAGCTACAAAGTACAAAATTTCATTAGCTTAAAGTGGCATCCAGAAACCTTGGTATGTTTTTCAAAGTGCCCCCTCCACAAATTAGGTGTTTTTTTTTAATCCATTTATGAAAGTTTCATTGATTTATAAGGAGAATGATTATATTTGCTTTTTGGTTTGTGTGCCCTCATCAGAATATTGTGGAACACTTGGTAATAATTTGTTACTGGAATCCTGTTCTTGGAAGCCCAGTTTTAGTATCATGCTTAGATATCAGATGGTGCTTGTGAGTGCCAAAGTTTCCATTTCTTAAGGAATTCATTGTAACTAATCAGAGCTGTGGAAGCTACAGTGTGAGAAAATAAGTTCTGTGATGCAGTCTCTTCAAGTCTGCAGTCACCGCCTTCCCTTTTTCTTTTTTTCCCCACCAACGAGGCTTTCTTTGTGGAAGTTAATAAAGCTAATAAGTCTAGTTTGACCTTGATAAGTACAGAAATGAAGCAATTAACATTTAAAAATCCAGTCTTGATTTTTAGTCTACAATATAATGTATAGTCACCAGGTGGTTACTCAGAAATTATTTGCATAAATATGGACATGAAGAAATATTTAAGAAACATTTAAGAAAATACACTTAAAACAGACTTTTTGATGTTCAGTGACAGGAACAAGTCACATGTGTTCACTTTTGGTTTGTTCTGGGTTGGCTAGTGGTGCCATGTAAAGGGCTTTGCTGCTTCTCACCAACAGCCCTGAGCCCTGGGGTTTTAACTCTTTATAAATTTGAGGAAACTGTCTAGAAGTGACAGTGGGGAAGGCTCTGGTTATTAAGTCACAGAAGAGCTTTTCCCAGTATTCTGTCCCACTTGGGCTTAGTTTTTAGTATTAACTTCAGAAAGGAGTAGAAGTGCTTTAAGTAGAGTCTTAATAGTCTCACACTTTATACTAGAGCATAGTTTATTTCTTTAAATTTATTTTAATTGCAGATTTATCAGGTGCAGTGATAATTTGACATGTAGCATCTAGTGATAAAGTCATAGTGGAGCCTAACAATTTAAAACCTTTGTGGGCTGGGATTGTGGCTCAGTGGTAGAGCGCTCGTCTAGCACATGTGAGGCCCTGGGTTCAATCCTCAGCACCACATAAAGATAAATAAATAAAATAAAGATATTGTGTCCAACCATAACTAAAAAATATTAAAAAAATAAAATAAAATAAAACCTACTTTGTATATTCAGTCTCTTTATTACCTCCTCTTGTTTTGGGAATGAGCTCTGTGATTGCCGTGCGGCATGAAGCCGTGTAGACATGAGGCTGTGTAGCAAAGCTGTGTAGACATGAAGCTGTGTAACATAAAGCTCATGAGGCAGGAGAAGGAGATGGCGTGGAATGCAGGGCCACGCCGATGCCCCATGCCCCTCCTGTAGAGCAGAAGAGTCCAGTGCTTGCTCACTTATGTCTTTTAGGCCTCCTGTGTCCAGTACCGGTTAGTCGTCCGGGACGTGAGCACCTTGCAGATCCGTCAGCTGTATACCTGCCTGGACCAGATCCAGCACATAGAGTGGTCGGCAGACTCCCTCTTCATCCTCTGTGCCATGTACAGACGGGGGCTTGTGCAGGTGTGTGTTCTGTGTTGGGGTCAGAGTTAGGAAACCCCCTGGGAGTGTCGTGTCACCAGTGTTATGTCTTCCAGTTTGTAAAACAGTGGCAGTGCAGCTCAAAGTCAGTTTTCTTTTAAAATTATAATGTTCCTCTAATAGTTTAATACTTTTTAAAAATTTTTTATTTTTCAATTTTTATTTATTTATTTAGTTAGTTGTAATTGGACACAATACCTTTATTCCATTCATTAATTTTTTTGTGGTGCTGAGGATCGAGCCCAGGGCCCCCGCGCATGCTAGGCGAGCGCTCTACTGCTGAGCCATAATCCCAGCCCCCTTAATACTTTAAAAATGAGTAAATCCTAGAATATTCTTGGTCTCTAAGCAAATATATTTCCAGAAATGGAGGTATTTGCCACTGCAGTCTAATGCTGGGGTGCTATGTGTTTCAGGCAGTGCTAGATAAGGCAGTGCTTTGTCCCATACCCACAGCAGCTCAGTGAGGGCCTGGGAGGGCAACCTGGATACATCGTTTTACAGGGTAGCGAGAGAACATCGCCCAGAAGCGAGCTTATGTTGCCATGGGCCTAGCGCCAGCGCTTCCTGAGGGCAGACTCCAGAGCTGTCCTATCTTGATCCAGCGCAGTGGACGGTCCCTGGGAGAAGGCATGCTGGGTGTGCCAGTTGGTCCCTGATGGTGCATCTCTCTCTTTGCAAATCCAGGTCTGGTCTCTGGAGCAGCCAGAGTGGCACTGCAAGATCGACGAGGGCTCTGCAGGGCTGGTGGCCTCGTGCTGGAGCCCAGACGGGCGCCACATTCTGAACACAACAGAATTCCATGTGAGTGTCAGGCCTTGTGAGCCTTGTCAGCCAGTGGGAGCCCACACTCTGCTCCCAAGGGGCCTGGGACTGTCACTGTTGGGCTCTGGAGCAGCATGTCTATCAAAAGTCCTATCCCAGAAGCACTGGATATCCTTTTAGGCCAATTTTGAAGAAAACACTTTTTTTTCCCTTTTTTTGTGACACTAGGTTTTTAACTTAAAATTTTCAAAAGGAAAAGTTATCATCTACAGAGTTTATAAACCTTAAAGAAATGGCTTTATTGTGTATCCCACATGACACATATATTAATTCTGAAACATAATTTATACAGAATCAGTTAATTGCCTAGAGTGCATTTGGATGACACTGTTCAACCTAAGACCAAGGTTGTGGCCACTTTGTAGGTGACATTAGAGTAAATGTCAAGATGAGGGGTGGAGGAACACCAGGAACCTCATGGCACGGGGCACCCTGGGACAGTACTAAAACTGACCCCGGTACTCAAGCAGACTTCCATTGCCACAGTGAAGAACAACACAGGGATGCAGATGTCCCTGGCCAGGAATTGACCCTGTGGCCACCTGTGCCTCAGTCTAGTTGACAGGGAGGATGGAACACTCTCAGACCTGTGCCACTGGACCCTTCCAGATGCACAACCCTGTGGGAGGGTGTTGCCGAGGGTGAGGGGGGCTCTGCCCCTGCGTGACAGTAAGAAGGCTGTGTGGTTCCGCAGGCCGCGGAGGGCAGCAGATTGCTGTCAAGCCCTGGAGTCCTGCTCTCCTCTCCAGGCCACTCGGCCGGCACTTGGCATTATTCATTTCCTTGCTCTTCTGGGGGGCATCATATATGTTGCACAGATGTTTGGTTTGCAGTGGCTACAGCTCATTTAAATGGCCCTGTGCTTGCTTCACAGATCGCCCAGCGTTGGTTTTTTTTTTTTTTTTTTGGTGCTGGGGATTGAACCCAGGGCCTTGTGCATGTGAGGAAAGCACTCTACCAACTGAGCTATATCCCCAGCCCCCAGCGTTGTTTTTAGATTCACCCACGCAGACAGGTGTAGCTGGTTTGTTCATTCTTTGTAAGAAAAACCATGCCACAGTCTATTAGCCATTCTGTTTCTGGGCATTTTGGGTTGTCAGAGGCACAGGGCTGTCATGCTGTGGTTCATACCCCCTGTAACATATCCAGAAACCATGGGAGGGTCCTGCCTGGTCAGCACCGATGTGTTCATCTCTCCGGACGGAGCTTTGCGATCCAGTGGAACTGTGCAGGCCTTCACTCTGGTTTAATTTCATGTCCTTAATTATCGGTGAGGTCGAGTGCTTTCATATCTTGTTTTACACACGTTAATTTAGACAAGTAGAGTGTATACCTGTGTGTGGTATGAGGTATGGACCCATTGTTGTCTCTTCCCTGAGTTATTTACTCTAAATAATTACTTCATCCATCTTCACCGTGGTCTGAGTACTGAATTCCTTTATGCCCTCAGGATCATTTCTGATTTTCAGTCTCTTCCATTGTTGGTCCACTTAAGTGCCTGTGTCCCATGTTAACTGGTTGAGGTTTCACATTATGTATTTATTTACTTTTATTTTTATTGTGCTGGGGATGGAACACACGGCCTCATATGTGCCAGGCCAGTGCTTTACCTCTGAGCCCCACTCCCAACCCCTCGTGCCCTTACATGTTAGTGTGGATGTAGTAAGTAGCCTGTAGTGGACTAGGAGAAAAACGAGGGCTAGAGGTATGAGTAAGCTGCAGAGCCTTGCCTAGCAGGAGCGAGGCCCTGTGAGAAGACAACGTATTTCACAGGCAGTGAAACCCACCCACTTGATGCTTGCAGTTTGGAGGTTGTTTTGCAGGTCGTCCTGGGTGAGCAGGACTGAGGACTTCGGCACCATAGTATGGGGCCCCTCATCGCTGTCCCTGTCCTGCCCATCACCTGCAGCCTCCATCTCTGCGGCTTTGCCTGCTGGAGCCGCCTGCTGCCCAGAGCTCTGGCTCCCCCTTGCACCATGGTGTCCTGTGGCCACCCTCCTGCTGCCGAGTGCTTCTGAACCTTTCTGCATGGCCCCTGTGCCATTGTGGGCCGTCTTCTGATGGAAGTGGCCATAGAGAGGCCTGTGCCCAGGGCCAGCAAGCTTCTTCAGTTGTCAGTGGAGCGGGTAGAGTTGACAGAGGTGTATTCTTTCCTTTTCTTTTTTGAGGAACCCGGTGTCTCTCTACCCCTGCGCCACATCCCAAACACTTTTTATTTTGAAACAGTCTTTCTAAGTTGCTGAGGCTGGCCTTGAACTATGATCCTTGAGCTTCAGCCTCCCAAGTTGCCAGGGTTACAGGCCAGCACCACTGTGCCGGCCCCCTAACTTTTTTTCTTACTGGATTTTGTGTGTGTGTGTGTGTGTGTGTGTGTGTGTGTGTGTGTGTGTGTGTGTGTTTACTGGGGATAGAACCCAGGGCCTCGTGAGTGCTGCTAAGCTATATCCCCAGCCCTCCTCCTGGAGGTTTCTAAACTTCTTTGTTCCTGGTGGGGTGAAGGCAGAAGCCAGGCTAAGTGCGTTTCCTGCTGGGGCCTCCGTAAGGTGCAGGCGGCAGATGCTGTCTCTGACACCTGCCTGTGCTCCCGGGTGTAGAAGTTTCTCGTTGAGTTGTCCAGTCTGCTCTGTGGAGTGGTCTCCACTCCTGCACTCCGGGCCTGCGGCACCTGGCCTGCCACTGGGTAGTCTGCCTCTGGTGAAGACGGTTCCCTGCTCTCCTCATGGGACTCCTGCTCAACTCCACACCACCCTCCCCAGGCCTCAGCGTGGCAGAGGCTCTGGAGGACCAGCCCTGTCCTCAGTGCTCAAGTTCACAAGGGGGCAGTGCCTGCTGTCACTCCTCCACACGGTGTGCAGGCGTCCACGTGCCCGTGGGCTCCCAGACACAGCGGCCTCGGTCTGGTTTTCTTTCTTATTTTTTTAGGAGGGATGATGTGGAGAAATCAAGTTAGTTGAGTTTTTAAGCTGATGAACTGAAAGCAGGCAGCATTTTCTGGAGTCGCGCTGGCACAGAAAAGGGCACACTGCATCCTCAAGTGGCATTTACCCGACTGAGTGCCCTTGCGGCCACATCCTTCCTAGGAGGGCTGTGGAGTGCCACCCGGCTCCTTGTGCCCAGCACTTGCTGCACTTCATGCTGCCACAGCCCTCCTTATGCAGCAGAGCAGCTGTGGGACCTGAGGATCAGTGGCCTGTCGCGCTGCCACAAGGCGTGGAGAACCTTTACAGAAACAAGTTCTTCTTGTCTGCTCCCAGGGGTGGGGTGTAGAGGGTCAGCATGTAATCAGGTGTGGCAGGCCACACGTGGAGTTTGATGTTCCATCCCAGAAGGTCAGCTTCCCATCCAGGGGTGTCCCCTTGGTGCAGGTGTCCTCAGTCACTTGTTGGGACCTTGTCTTCTCTTGGCCTTTTGTACCAGCCTGGTCACCTCCAGGGGAGGGAGAGGGGTGGTGGAAACAGCAACAGTGGTCACCTCCCGGCTAGCACGTCAGGGCAGAGGAGAGGTGGAGAGCAGCGACAGCAGTGGCCTCCCAGCTGCCAGGGGAGGGAGAGGAGAGGTGGGGAGCAGTGACAGTGGTGGCCCCAGAKCTCTTCTGCAGAAGGCGCGGCCTTGAACATCCTCCTCTTGGTAACCAGGGCCCTTAGTGTTCTCCTCTTGGTAACCCTCCAATAGGCTGCACTGTCCCGGGGACTTAGCCAGAACCACCTGAGTCCACACAGTGCTCTGGAGGCTGAAAGAGGCTCCTCTGGGTCAAGACTTTTCTCCATCCAGACATCTCTGTGCCTGTCGTAATATGCAAGCCAGGAGACCTAGCGTTTAGAAACACACCCACTCGACTGGCTCACTCAGACAATATCATTCCAGAACACAATTCTAAGAACATCAGTAGGAGGACAGTAAACATTGCATTTGGACACAGTTGTAGAGAAGAGTCCCTGGAAGGATCAGTAGCCTTGTGTCAGTAAATCTTTTCCTGGGACTGGTGATCTGGTTTATGATTCGGGACAGTCTTTCTGAAGATGCTAAGTACGTGCCAATTCCTTTCTCTCTCCCATTCCCCAATAGCTGCGGATAACTGTCTGGTCCCTGTGTACAAAGTCCGTGTCTTACATCAAGTATCCCAAAGCCTGTCAGCAGGGTGAGTCTGCCACAGCCGCTCCAACTTACTTCTTTGCATCTGTTTGGGGATTTGGGGACTTTCTTCCATGGAATATTTCCAACTTAGAAACTCAGCAGCACACCAGCTCCTAGTGGACCCTCTTCCTGTCCCCACTCAGCCCTTGTACACTTGAAGTGTCTCCCAGGCATGTTCCCATCTTTCTCTATAAAAGTCAAGGCCCTTTCGCCACCATTTGGGTGACAAGAGGAAGCCAGGCAGACTTCAGATAAAAGTGGAGTTCACAGGAGACCCTGGCCTTCCAGAGAGCGGGTGGTCAGACCCTCCAGCTGGTGCCTGGCAAGGACACAGCTCGGCATCCACATGAATGTCGAGTCACTGGCTCTTCTGGGGACTTCTCTGAGCTGGTCACACCCAGGGGCAGGCTAAGGCATGGGGGCCCTCTCCCCATTAAGGCCTCCGGGAGGAGGTGGACTGCTGGGGCAGACACACCTAGCATGCCGGGCAGGACTAGTGACTGCTGCATCTGTCGAGACAGAGGGAAGTAGTGTTACCTGACTGGACGGTTTGATGGTGTTACTGTTTTTCGGTTGCCATCCTATCAGCAATCTGGGAATTGCGTTGGAATGAAAGTGCAATTGTGTGATTATTTTTGATGTGTAGAGTTTGAATGTTAGCAGCTCTGCTCAGGAGGTGCGCACTGCCCGAGTGGAAGTCATAAGTTATTGGAGGTGGTTTGTTTTCTTTTTCTCTTTTTTTAAATTTTTTAATTGTAGATGGACAAAATGCCTCTATTTTATTTATATTTACGTGGAGCTAAGGGTGGAGCCCAGATCCTCACACATGCCAGGCAAGYGCTCCACCACTCAGCCCAGCCCCGGCCCTGAAAGTGATACCTTTTTATTCACAAAGCCTGAAAACTTGGCCTGGGTTTTATGAGGCGATATAGAACTGGAAAATACAATTTTACATTTTCAACCAAAGTTTTTTTCTAAGTAGTCATCTTTTCTTTTTTTTTTTTTTTTAAAGAGAGAGAGAGAGAATTTTAATATTTATTTTTTAGTTCTCGGCGGACACAACATCTTTGTTTGTATGTGGTGCTGAGGATCGAACCCGGGCCACACGCATGCCAGGCAAGCGCGCCACCGCTTGAGCCACATCCCCAGCCTTCTAAGTAGTCATGTTAAATTTACTTCTTCTAAACTATGAAGTTCAAAAGTAAAAAAAAGAAATGTACTAAGAACTGACCCTTGACCCGCTGAAGAGGAGCCTGGGCTTCTGTGGGCCGCCCAGCAGCTCTCAGGCCCGACTTCTGCCCGTGGTGCTCTCGCTGGTGGGCACCCCCTTTGCCCTCCACTTGCTTTGTCGTCCTCCCTGGGAAACCACTGCTGTCCTTTCTCTTGCTTGGCTACTTCCTAATTGGGTGCTCTGCCCTTCCTGGCAGGGGTCACTTTCACCAGGGATGGCCGCTACATGGCCTTGGCAGAGAGGCGGGACTGCAAGGACTACGTGAGCATCTTCGTGTGCAGCGACTGGCAGCTCCTGAGGGTACGGCGCTTCCTCGCCCTGGGGGAGCAAGGCGCCCGGAGTGGGCCTCCCAGCACTGCTGCTGGCACTTGCGCTGTGTGGAGGGATTTTAACCACAGGGACAGAATGTAGATATTTTCGTTCATTTGTGTGTAAGAAAATCAAATGCATGAGTGTTAGAAACAGTAAGTGTACAGAGAAGGCAGCTGGCCGGAGGCATGCGCTACCTCACTTAGGAGCTCTGCATTTGCTCAGGCATTCGAGACCCGCCTGGGCAACATGATGGGGCTCCCATCTCGAGAAAATACATGAATAAAAGAAACACTTATTTAGGAAAAGATTGGCAGATTTTCATGTTTTCCTCTCCCCCTTGGAAGCATTTTGATACAGATACTCAGGACCTGGCAGGGATCGAGTGGGCCCCGAACGGTTGTGTGCTGGCAGTGTGGGATACCTGCTTGGAGGTACGGAGTGTGCCCAGTGACAGTCCTCTTCTAAGAGCGCCCACCTGCTCCTCACCCGGTGCTCTCTGCAGACAGTGAGACAGTGGGCTTGGCCTCGTTGCAGTTGACTGTTGTCAGGTGTATGCCACAGTCTCCCCTTTCCCTGTGCCACTGGGAAATGGTATAATGTAATCCCACTTCACAGGCGGGTGGAGGACACTTCCTCCTGTGCTGCTCCCCATGGGCTGCAGGAGTCTGCAGCGCCACTGCTGTGTGTTCCCGGGAAAGTGACGCCTGCATGTCTCCTCTGCAGTATAAGATCCTGCTATACTCCCTGGATGGCCGCCTGCTGTCCGCCTACTGTGCCTACGAGTGGTCCCTGGGCATCAAGTCGGTGGCTTGGAGCCCCAGCAGTCAGTTCCTGGCAGTGGGGAGCTACGACGGAAAGGTGGAGACAGGTGGGGTGGGAACCCAGTGAGCGGCCCTGCTTAGCCCTACGGCTCACCTCAGCTGTGCTTCTTTCTCCAGGTGCGCCTCCTTAATCATGTGACTTGGAAAATGATCACTGAGTTCGGGCATCCTGCAGCCATCAACAACCCCAAGATAGTAAGTCCGGGTCCTGAGCTGGGGTCTGAGCAGTGTTTGGGAAGGGGGAGGAGCTGCAATTGCATTCTGACCCTGCTGATGTTATTGTCCCCACACCTGCATCTTTCTGTGCTCTGCTGGTTCTGTCAGTGCAGGCTTAGATTTCGACCTCTGCTGCCCACAGGCTCTTCCAGCTACTGCACTTGCACTTCAGGCCTCTTTCCAAGAGGACCTGAGTCTGCCCCTGCCCCTGCATAGTGGGCTGGGAGAGCTGGGCACCTCCAYAGGGCCTGAGGAGGTCACCTTCCAGGCCCAGGGAGCAGGAAGCACAAAGTCCTCTGATGGAGAGGACTTTTGATGTCCATTTGTGCAGYAGCAGCAACAAGTGCCCACTGCCTCCTGGCCTCTGGTCTGTGTGGGTGATGGTAGAAGATGAGCTAAAAATGCTGGCCTCCCTGGTAGGGCTTCCTGGCCCTGAGGAGGAGAATACGAGTGGCGTGGCCGGCAGGCACAGGGCCAGGCCAGCCAGCCAGGGACCTTCCTGGAGGTGACATCAAGGTGAATACTGGGAGGAGGAGCAGAGAGGAGCTGCAGGTGCCAGGGTTGTGTGATCTCAGGCAAAGGTGCCTCTTGGAGGGAGCGGTGAGGGAGGCTCTGGGAGGGAAGGCCAAGGGAAGGCTGACCATAAGGGCCCAAAGATGTCCCGTGGCCGCTGCATCTCTCCAGGGCCTCTCACATGTATGCCTTAAAACTCAACCAGGTGGACCCTGCACCAGGCCCCCGAGTGTTGGTCAGCTCTCCCTGCTGTGACAGAATGCCTGCAGAAATAGCTTGCAGGTGGGAAGTCACGGCCTCAGGGTTTAGTCCATGTCACCTAGCCCTCTTGCTTTGAGCCTATGGCGAGGCAAAGCAGAGCTGCTTACCTCCTGGTGGCCAAGAAGCAGAGCAAGAGGGGAAGGCCTGGGTCCCAGGTCCCCTTGTGGCCACAGGCTGGGGACCATCAGCAAATGGGCCTTTGGGGGACTTTAAGATCCAGACTGTAGGCCCGAGCCTGCCACACCCACCTCCTCCTCGGGGAGGTTCCTCCGCATGCTGCTTGCTGGCATCTGGTGGTGCCCACTCTCCTTGGCCGTCACCAGGGAAGTGGACGCCCCGCTCACTCCTGCACGGTTGGCTGCAGGAGTGACCGGGTGCTGTCTGAACACAGCTGCACACTGGCTCCTCGCTTCTCAAGGGGCACTTGCCAGCAGGCTCCGGTGGCCCTGGGGAGCCTCCCCTCCACAGGTGGCACTGTTACGCCACAGCTGCTTGCCCAGCATCTCGGGTATCCCCATAGCAGCTCCGGGTCTCAGCCCTGTCCCTCCCACCTGGTGGCCGGGTTGTCTTTCAGGTTGTGTATAAGGAAGCGGAGAAGGGCCCACCGCTGGGGCTGGGCCGCCTGTCCTTCCCGCCACCCCTACCACTGGCGGCCCCCCTCTCAGCCTCGGAGAGCAAATGTGAGTAGCAGAGGGCTGCTGTCCTCTGCATGGGACACTTTGCTTGTTTTCATTTTTCTTTTAAAATGAAAAAGATTCCTTTTTGTCCAAATACATTTCAGGTGCTCTTTATTTTTTTAAAAGTCCATTTCCCTTCCCTGTGCTGCCTCCAGCCAGCGATGGAGTAAGTGCTGGAGTCTAGTTTGACCGCTGGCTCACTGAGGGCAGGACTTGACATCCAGAGTGAGGTGCCCCAGGGGGATCAGAGAGCCTGCAGCGGTGCAGTGAGCGGGACTAGCTGGACACAGCAGGGTGTGGTGACCCCTCGGCCTTGCTGGTCCTGGCCATGCACTGGGGGCAAGGAGCCTGTGCTCCAGAGGACACAGGGACCTTAGGGACATGTGGGGAGAGCACCTGGCCCTTTGCAGGCGTGGAGGGTAGGAGGGCAGCCCGGCCCCAGGAAGCAGCTCACCGCCACTTGTCCTGCAGCCTCCTGCTGCTGGTTTTATAAAGCTCTCTGCATCTGAAAGCCACAGAAACAACGAGGTTGAGCTTGACTGAACCAGGACGCTGACCGCTGACCGGGTGGGAAAACAACTGCTGAGGTGTGAGGGCAGTGAGGGCAGCGAGGCTGGGTAGATCCGGAACAAGCCGGATGACGCGATGCCCTGTCATTTCTTCCTTACCAGACAATGTCCCCAACACTGTATGGGTCTGGGACATCCAGGCCTGGCAGGCAGTGGTGCTACTGTCCCTGAGGGAGTTCCCCAGGCCTCCGTGCTGTAGCCGACTCAGGCGAGCTCAGCATCTCTCCCTTGTGACGTTCCAGATGAGATCGCCTCTGTGCCAGTTTCCCTGCAGACCCTGAAGCCGGCCACCGACAGAGCGAACCCTAGGATGGGCGTGGGGATGCTGGCTTTCAGTGCTGACAGCTACTTCCTGGCCACAAGGAATGGTCAGTATGTGCTGGTGTCGATCTGCTGTGCCCCACGCTCCAGGGGTAGAAACCATGGGAAAGAAAAAGCAAGTGAGGGGGCCGTGCGTGGGCTCCGATTGCCTGGAGCCGAGATGCAGTGTCCTGTTGCAGAGGCCCCTCAGGAGTCCAGCTCTTCTTTGCGGAGGCAGCAGGCCAGTGTGTCAGCAGCAGTACCTTGGCCTCTGCACACTCCTTCCTCCTTAAGAAAGAACAGGAGCCAGGYGCAGTGGCACGCGCCTTTAATCCCAGCAGCTGGCAAGGCTGAAACAGGATTGAGTTCAAAGCCAGCCTCAGCAATCGCTGGGGAGGCTGAGACAGGAGGAGATGAGTTCAATGCCAGCAACGGYGAGGCGCTAAGCAACTCAGTGAGACCCTGTCTCGGGATGTGACTCAGTGGTCGAGTGCCCCCGAGTTCAATCCCTGGTATCCCATCCCCCCAAAAAACAAAAAGGAAGAATAGGGCATAGGGTAGGCAGTCTGCCCTGTAGGCCTGGTTCTTCTTTTTTTTTTTTTTTAATTAATGATGGCAGCTCTTATAACAAAGCCAAAGAAGAACATTGGTGGATGGTCTTTGAAGCCTGTGCTTTGCTCTGGAACCCTGGTCCTCTGAAGCAGGCTCAGGAACACTGACCTCTCCAGGGCTTGCATGCAGAGGGGCCAGGCTACCTAGGGTCAGCAGAGCACGGATGACATGATGCCCTGTCATTTCTTCCTTCCCAGACAATGTCCCCAACACCGTTTGGGTCTGGGACATCCAGAAGCTCAGGCTCTTCGTGGTGCTGGAGCAGCTGGCCCCCGTGCGCTCTTTCCTGTGGGACCCACAGCAGCCTCGGCTGGCCATCTGCACAGGAGGCAGCAAGGTCTACCTGTGGTCCCCGGCGGGCTGCGTGTCGGTGCAGGTGCCTGGGGAGGGTGAGTGCATCCGGTGGGCGTGGAGCTGCAGCCTCTAGGGCAGCTGCCAGGCCCTCTGCTGCACGGGGGAGCTCCTCCACATCTTTCAGGAAACTTCAAGGCCTGTGCCCAGTGTGTGCACCTGACAGGACCCACCACCCTAAGCTTCATCGGGTGGATGGTGGCCTTGAGCTCTACCTGGCTTCTCCCATCTGGGTCACCCAGGTCCCTTCTGTTTGCCCGTGGGGTACAGGCTGCCTTCCCCGGGGATCCTCATCTCCCTGCTCTAATCCTTTGGCTACCCTTTTCTGTCTCTAGGTGACTTTCCGGTGCTTTCTCTGTGCTGGCATTCAAGTGGGGACTCCTTGGCCCTCCTCAGTAAGGATCACTTCTGTCTCTGTTTCCTGGACACTGAAGAGGGGGTCCACACAGCTGTGGAACAACGGGACAGCCATGCGTAGGACCTGGTGGAACCCTCAGCAGGGACTCCATGTCCCTGATCTGGGAAGGAAGAGGTTCCCCTGGGAGCTCTCCGGCTGTGTTGTGCTGGCTCAGTGACTTGACTCTGATTTTCTGTAGCAAGGGGGTTTTGTAAATATGTGTGGTATAAAGCTGTAATTTTCATTATTTAAAATAAATATTTGCTAATTTATAAAACATTGATGCTTRTTTCCTTGAAGGGCCATCACGGCAGGTTTTCCAGGTTAGGCCGAGTTGTTAGTCAGTCTCAGGACGTGAAGGACGCTGTGCTGCAGAGCCCACCCCACTGCCGTGGCTGCTCTGGGTTCTTTTCAGTCACTGGTGGTTTCAGGGGGGCATGGGTGTGCCTGTGCCTGTGGGGTGTGCCTGCCCTCTGTGGTAGGGTGTACTCTGGAGTGAGGGGGACAAGCACCTGAGGGCAGGGCTCTCCTGGGTCCTCTCAAGGGGATGATAGCTGGGAGGCAGCGGCTGGAGCACCAGGGGCGCTGAGAGGGCTGCCCGGCTGCCCGCACTGTGTCTCTTCATGGAGGACGTGCCAGGCAGGATCCTGTTCCTGCTCCTGCAGAGCCTGCAGACAGACCTTCAAAGCTGAGGCTTGAGACTCACTCACTGGGGAGCTGCTCCCCTGGCTGGACACTAATTTTAATGACAATAACCTCAAAAAACAGCAACATCCATTTGGTTCTAAACATCTTTACTACAAGACTGCAAGAGCAGGCTGAAGACCTGGGTGCTTTGAGACAGCCTTCCTCTGGACAGGCCACGTGTCCCGGTCGCATCGTGCCAGCAAGCGTAAAGCCATGACAGAGCTGTAAGTGAGGAGGAGGAGACTGAGGAGCCAGCGCTCAAGTCGCGAGTGCTGCAGCCCCACTAGGCGTGGGCTGGGAGTCTGATGGCACCTGGAACCTACGGGCTGCAGGAGCCAGGGTGGCAGTCTCTGGGGATCTAACACGTCCTTGCTTTAAAGTGCATCCTTTAAAGAGCAAACTACCGATTTYCCTTTTAAACATGAACAAAATAACAAAAGCTTAGGATACCTATAGTTGTCAAAATTATGTGCAATTCCTCAACAAATTGTGTTAAATGATTCTCTGTAAACTTTTTTGGGCCTGGGGAAAAAGTATTAACAACTTGGATTAATTTTAGAAAACATACAACTGTAGGTCAACCATATTTACAAAAAACAACTGTCCGCTAGGCTCTGACAAGGCACAGACTGCTGTGACCAGTCTGTAGGCTGCTTTGTATTTTGCTTAAAAAAATGGATAAAATTTCAAAAATACAAAATTTAACATGAGTGTAAACACATGTGCAAGTGCAGGCACTGGAGATGCCAGGCTCCTCCCCGTACTGAGGTCTACACAGCGAGGCACGCAGATGCGCCCACAGACTCGAAGCATGCTGCAGGGGCTGGGCAAGAAACCACAAGAAGCTAATGGGCACTTGAGGGGACACGAACGGCAGCAGCACGGGGTCAGCTACGTCTCTCTGCCCCTCTCTGTAGCTCACTAAGGAATTCACTGGACCATGCTAATAACATCAGATCCCCAAAGGTGGCCACCCCGGTCCTCCCTCCAGTAGCAGCGGGCTGGCTTGAGGTCTCCCGCATTCCCGAGTTCCCCTCAACAAGGCTTTCCTTGGGGATGGCTCCACGCTGAGCTGTCTAGAAGCCAATCTTGCCTCTGGTCATGGAATAACCCAGTTTGGCCTCGTTGTTGATGAAGGACATCAATCCCACGTAGGTCTCGATGAGCAGGGGCCGCTCCAAGACCAGCACACCATTTGCTTGTCCTGGCAGAGGACTTTCTTTTTGGGCTTTTTTGACAGCTTGGATTAACAGAGCCTTGAAGCTTTCCAACTTTAAAGAGAAAAAACAAGGAGCTTCAAGCAACAAAAGAGTAATCTGTTAAATGGAAAAATTTGCATTTTGAGACATTTAACTCCCTCAAAACACACACACAGGCACGTGTCACTTAATGGCAATGAGATGTTCTAAAAACGTCTTTAAGTGATTTCATTTTGAGAATATCACAGTACTTATACAACCAGTACGCAGGTCACCCGGGTGCCGGCGTGGCCGGTGTGGCACACTGCTCCACAGCACACTCGTGTAGGGAGAAGCACCCTCTAAATGCTGATCAGAGAAAAACAGGCACGTAAGCCAGTCCTGGGTACTGCTGCCCGGCACCGCGTCCTGGACCGCGGGCGATGATGCCATGTTTGCAGCTGTCTGCCCCAGTGCCCACCACTGCTGTGTGAGCAGGCTGCTGTGGCACAACGTGACTCTGCGGTGTGTGCCTTTTTCTTTGTTGAGCCCCTCAGGGCCCTCACTTGACAAGACACCTCTCGGCCACTTCTTGGGAGTCCCTCCACAGCCCTCAGCGTGGCTCTCTGATTGGCATGACACTTGCCATTGTGCTCGTCGGTTTAGACATCAGCCTTTCCTCCCGACAGGACTCGGAGGGTGGCAAGTGTTTTGCCACAGAGGCCTACTTCATCCTAGGCAGGCTCCCAGGTGCAAGGCACCCCAACCCATCTCTGCTCCAAACCTGGCCTGAGGCCCAGGGAGCACCCAGACTAAGTGTCTTCAACATGGCGGGTCAGCTGCTACTCCCTACCGTGTGTCTAGGCTATTCTCCAAGAGAATCAGCAGCAGCAAGAGGCCATGTTACAGACCAGCAGTCATACGGGCTCCTCACACACAAATGAAATAATTTTTTTTCCCAGTAATGGGAAAGGAACCCAGGGCGTTCTGCCACTGAGCTCCATTCTTGGGCCTTTTCGTTTTACTTTGAGACAGAGTCCTGCTAAGTAGCCCAGGCTGGCATTAAACTTGCAATCTTCCTGCCTCAGCTTCCAGAATCACTAGGATTACAAGTGGGCACCAAAGTGCATAGCTTAACCAGAATAAAATATTTAAAATATTTTTTTTAGTTGCAGTTGGACACAATACCTTTATTTATTTATTTTTTATGTGGATCGAACCCAGGGCCGCACACGTGCTAGGTGAGCACTCCACTGCTGAGCCAAAAATTTTAAAAGCTACAAGTTCATTTCCTCATGGTCAGCAGTCATTCTTCAAGCTCTCATCCCTGCATGTGGCCACAAGACTGGGTGACACAGACCTCTCACCACTGCTGGACGTGCAGCTGCAGTGGCTGCTGACCACCTGCTCACCTGGCACAGAGAAGCCGTCTTTTCATCCACACCAGCCATTGGGTGCTCTATGAAAGTGGCGTAGGGCACGTTTGTGGACCAGGGGTTCCATCTGTTTATGAAAGAAGGACGACTCTGCTTGTCCCATTGGATGCGAATCCCAAAGCCTTCTCGCCTGACACATGAGAACAAACAGCCATCTTCAACACCACAGACAGGAGGCTCTCACACCCGTCAGAGACAAAAAGCAGCAGTTAATGTAGCTCTGTATCCCTGGGAAGACCCGAGACAGTTCCCAACCAAAAGTGGCTTTGAGTATCACTGTTACCYGGGCTGGCCTTGAACTCATGATCCTCCCTCCTCAGACTCCCAAGTAGCTGGGGATATAGATGTACACCACCATGCCCAGCTTTTTGGCTTAAGGACTTTTAAATATGACAAGTTAAATATATTGTCTTGTTTATCTAAACTTTATCTTTACTTATGCATTAAAAATTAATAGAAATACATCATAGATAGCCTAGCCCGTGATTAATGTGTTCATAACTTTGCTGTTTCTTTACTGTATTATTAAATTCTGGTTAAAATTTTTAATCATGTTGGCTCACTGAATTCTCCATTCAAATCTCTACATCAAACTCTAAGTTGTAGCTGGGTGCAAAATAAAACCTCTGAATTTTACAGTTTAGGTTTTTTTCCTATTAAAGATGATCAATTATTTTTTAAAAATATTTTTTAGTTGTAATTGGCACAATATCTTTATTTTATTTATTTATTTCTATGTGGTGCTGAGGATTGAACTCAGGGTCTCACACATGCTAGGCGAGTGCTCTACCGCTGAGCCAGCACCCCTGCCCCAAGATGATCAGTTCTTGAAAGTTGAGCAATAGGTATTTTTTTTCCTCTCTTCTTTTTCTTTTTTGGTGGTATTGGGGACTAAACCCAGGGGTGGTCTACCACTGACCTACATCCCTTTTTACTTTGAGATAGGGTCTCACTAAGTTGCCTAAGCTGTCCTCAAACTCACAATCCTCCTGTCTCAGCCTCCAAAGTGGCTGAAATAATAGGTGTGGGCCTCTGTGCTTGGCTACCCCCAGATATTTGCAAATATATCCACCCTTAGTAATATCTATAAATTAAATTGGCACTCTTAAAAAAATCACTGGGCTTGAACGTGTAATCTTTCCTTGGATGGAGATAAAATGCCCTGAGGAACATCCAGTTCTCTTTTGACAGTGGCTCAGCTGAGATGTATCTGAAACCCAGTTAAACCACTTCCACTGCAAGCCTAAAAGTTGTCTTTCATGCCAAAATCCCTCTCAGTAGCACTGGACTCCCAGAAAGTCACTTGCTTCTATTTTAAGGATCTTTTTATCCATCCTTCAGGCTGAGATCATTAGCTTACACAGAACAGCAGACACAGGACTACCACCTAGGGGTTTAAAAGAGCTGAGTTCTAAGGTCACAATGGTCCCAACAGCAAGATAAGGGCTTCTTTGAATGCACTCACTTGTTGAGAGATTTGGGGGGAAACTGGAACTCTCCGTGGGAGATGGTGTCCACTGCACTGAGTGCCACCCTGACCACCTGCTGGCACTGAAGGCTGATGAAGTCGTACTTACAGATGAGCAACGACTGGTCAGTGACCAACACCAGACGCTCTTTTTCGTTGTTCCAGTGGTCCACCCTAGAGGCGAAGACAAGTCACCTGTTCCCACCCTCTTGAGCAAACACAGTCCTGGTCTTCTCAGGGGGGTGTTTCCCTGCAGAGCTCTGCCTGGGTCACGGGAAGCTCCCCCCCAACACCGGAGGCTCGCTTACTCGGTCAGCAGCCACACCCCCTGGATCTCGCCGTCCTCCACGGGCCGGACAACGGCGCGGATCTCTTCCACGGCCTGCTCGATGGTGCCGGGCTGGACGCGGCCGGGGCAGAGGTCAATCTGGGCGGGCGCTCTCCTCTCCTCCTGTCCCTCTGCTCCGCCCTGCCGGGCCTCCCCTGCTTCCCAGGGCCTGGTCCTCCTCCCCAGCCTCCCAGACCCTCCCGCGGTCCCAGGTTCCTCCCCTGCCCTCCCCGTCCGTGCCCGACCCTCCTCCCCAGCCCTCCCGCTGCCCTCCCCGTGTCCGACCCTCCTCCCCTGTCCTCCCACTGTCCTCCCCGTGCCCAACCATCCTCCCCTGCCCTCCCGCGGCCCGGCCCGGCCAGGCCCTCACCCGGAACACGAAGTACTCCTTGACGCGGGCGCGGCGCGTGGGGTCCTGGACGCTGAGCGGCCACAGCGTCTGGCGCAGTGGCGTGCCCACCCCTGCCCGGGCCCCGCCCGCGCTGCCCGACCCCACGTCCTCGCCGGCCGCCAGCAGGGCCGTGGGGCTCGTGCCCGCGGAGTCCACCGAGTCCCGCAGCTGCAGCATCGCCACTCCGGGCCGGGACCCTACCCCGAAGCCGCCGCCTTAGGGCCACCGCCCGCAGCCGTCAGCGCTGCCCCGCCCCTTTAGTCGCGATTGGCTGAGAGCCGCCGGACCCGCCCCAGTCTCCGCCCCTAAAGCGCCCGCCTCCCCCTCGGGATTGGCTCTTTCCCAGCCGTCCTCCGCGATTGGCTCCGGCCCTCTGCTGTTCACATTCCCTCCCACCCCTGGCCGCACCGGAAGCAGCTGTGGCTCGCAGACCCACTTCCTGTTTACGGAACTGAAAACGGACCACACCAAGAGTGTTGCCAGGGAGACGCGGGCGTCGGGGGAGGAGGAAGGGGAGGGCCGCGGGAAGGAGGAGCCAGGAACTTAAGGAACCGGGACCTCCTAGTGCTGGTGCTCCACGAGCGGGGTGTGCGCTCTCGCCCATTTGAGTAACGCCCCTTCCTCCTTGGCGGGAGTGGCCGCTGTACGTACGCGCCTGTACGCTTCGGCCGTGTGAGTACGTCGGGCGTGTGCGTAGCCAGGTGCCTGTGAAGGTTAGGTGTGTGCACGTCACGTGTCCGCACCTGGCGGAAGGCTGCGCGGTGGTGAAGGGTCTGCCTGGATCCAGCGGTCCTCGGGGCGGGACCGCAGATCCCCTGCAGAGCTCTGCCTGGGCCAGAAACTGGAGCTCCCCAGGAACAGGGGGGCCCAGCGCGGTGCTGAATTCAGGCATCCTTCGCGTCCTCATAGGGACCTTAGGAAGCAGGCAGAAGGGGATACTTGAGGCACAGGGTCAGCCACCTGCCAGTGTCACACCACCAAGGGTCAGGATGGGCATTCTTTTGACCTGCTCTTGTCCCAAGGGTCACTATACGGTTGTCTGTCCTCTTCCAGCCCAGCGATATGCACGGGAGCTGCACACTGCCCTGGATTCTGCTATCCCTTCGGGAGACTCAGCCCATCTTAGTGCCACCCTCCTTGGCACTATCTTCACAGGCTCCAAGGCTGTGTATCTGTACATCCCGCTGGTCCCTCTGACCACTGCCCTGTCATGTCCCTGTTGCCCCCCCCCCCCACACACACACATGAGACTCTTGTCAACTCCGTGTGCTCACCTCCCCGGGAGATGTTCCGCCATTGACCAGGACTTGCTTTGTTCATGCTCTTGGCTCATGTAGGTCACTCGCTGTGCCCTGGGTCATCGTGCTGTGTGTGCTGCCATGTTGGGAGTCTCTGGAGCTAGCYCCTCTTCTCTGGGTCTTCATGACCGCTTTCAGAGTTCTTTACCTTTCATGAGAGTGCAGGGATGTAAATGCTATTGTGCTTGCTGCAGACCTGTAAACAGGTCTAGGTCTGGAGAGTTTCTGGAACTGTCTGAGGTTGCACAACCAGCACAACTGTGCCGACCAGCAGCGACCCTCCTGGCTTGTGTAAAATGCAAGGGCTGGTGAGACCATCATCCCCAAGATCTCCCAGAGCAGGGATTCGCAGGGGACCACACAGCAGTTCCTTAAGAGCTGCTCACAAGAGGTCAGTATTGATAGAAGCAGGAGACACCAGAATACTTTGCTTCCTGAAAAACTCAAGATTTTGAAGTGGGCAAAGTGAGTGTGCAAATATATTTTGAAGTGGGCAAAGTGAGTGTGCATGTTGCTAGCACCATGGGCCTGTGGAGTTGGGGCTGAAGTTCAGCTAGCTGCTACACCTTCAGTGGACCAGGGCAGGTCATACCCCCACCCCTGCTGTGGGCCCTGCCCTTTGGAGGAGGAAGCCCCTCTTCTCTGGCAGTGGAGCCCCTGCCCAGCCCTTGTTGGGGAGCAGCCTGAGCCTTTGGGCTGGAAAAGCAGTGTCCCTTTCATCCTAGAGATGGTGGTGCAGAGCTAGCCCTCGGTGGCAGCTGGCAGGGGAACTTGGAGCCAGAGCTTCTGGGTCTGAATCCTAGCTCCCTGGCTTCTGTCCACATGGACTTGGCCACGTGAGCTCTCTGTGCTTGGTTTCTGTGTCAAGTGGGATATCCTAGGATGTTTCCGGTGGCCTGTTGAGCCCTGGCCTGGCTCAGCAGCGGTGGGCCACTAACCTCAAAGCATCTGGGGAGATTGCAAAACKGCTTCTGCTCTCTCCACCTGTGTATGGGGTTGGGGGCACATTACCAAGAACACTAGTCCCAGAGGTTGTCACTGTCCTATTAACAAAGGACTAAGCTAGGACTTTCCCCTCGGCCTGTGAGAACCCGACCTGAGCAGCAGCAGAGCCCCCATCACTTGTGTCTGTGCCAGTGGCTCCCAGGAGGGGTGGCAGGGAGGGTGTTCCTGCGTCACCTGACCCACGTGCCACCAACTTCCAGAGCCACCATCAAACATGGTGAGCAGGAGGGGCAGTCCCCTCCTTGGACAGCAGGACTGATTATGGTCCTGGTTAGGGTCTCCTGGCAGAGAATGGCAGCTGGGGCTCCTAAGAGGAGCACTGAAGGAGGGAGGGTGACAGTGAACACATTAGCCAATCCCCAAACACCAAGGCAGAATGTTGTCCCTGATCTGAGGAGGCTGGTTCATACTGGGGTTGGGGGGCATGGGAGGATTAGACAAACTCTAGATAGGGCAGAGAGGTGGGAGGGGGCCTGGGGGTAGGAAAGAGTGGGATGAGATGGACATCATTACCCTAACTAAGTACATGTATGAAGACACGAACCGTGTGAATAAACTTTGTACACAACCAGAGACATGAAAAAATGTGCTCTATGTGTGTAATATGAGTTGTAATGCATTCTKCTGTCAGATATAACAAATTAGAATTTTTWAAAAAACTGAACAGCAGTTACCATGGGTGCTCTGGGGGACTTGGGAGATGTTTGGATGGAGACCAAGCAGTAGAAAGAGGGGCAGCCAGTCCCCGGTGGAGCCACTGTGGGAGGGGTGCAGCGGAGCCTGGCAGAGCCTGTGGTCTGAATGCCACTTCATTCCACACCCATGCTGCCCTCGAACCTGTTACTTACCCTTCCTGACTCCCTGTCCTCACCCAGAAGGCAAGGTAGGCAAAGCCTGGGTGGGTGCCATTGCTGCTGTGAGGCCTGGGTCAGCAGTGTGCACAGAAGGCCCCCTGGCTCCACTCAGCACGTCCAGTGYCCTGCACAGCCAGCTCAGAGAGCTCGGCAGCATCTGTGGAATGACAATGACAGCTCAGAGATGGAGAACGGGAGATCCTGGGGTCAGGACTGGCGTAGGGCAGGAGGACAGTCCCCACCGCTGGGGACCTGCAGGTGARCAGGCTACCTAGAATAGTGCACAGGCACTGGCAGCAGACACCAGGTGCTCAGGCCAGAGGGGAAGATGACTCCAGGGAGAGCCAGGCGAGTGTMTCCAAGCCTGGGTCCCCACCGGTGCACCAGTGTGCCCACACCATGTTCTCCAGACAGGATCCCAGAGCCAGTGAGCGAGGGAGGGAGACACTGCCTCTCCCCGAAAGGCTTCCTTGGGACACAGCCCTGGGAAATGGCCTGGGTTGGGCAGCAGGATGAATGGGAGACYCCCTCAGAGAAGTATTGCCCTGGGGGAGCTTGAGGTCAGGGAGAGGGCAAGGGAGAGCACTGAGGGATGCAGAGCGAGCCTGGAGGGCGCTGAGCGCTGGGAGGCAGGACAGCCCTGATGGCCTGGTGGCTGGGACATGGTGGTCTGGAACTGGTTCTGCAGAGAGGACAGTTCTGGGTGGTGGCAGATATCTAGGTCTGGACGTGGGGCTGGTGCCCCAGTGAGTGGGATACAGATCTGTGGGCAGCCTGAGCCCAGGACAGTGCAGAGGCCCGCTGCCGGCAGGAGCAGTCAAGGTGATGGGGGTGCCTAGCCTTCTGTGGCCATGGGGCGTGACCTGGACATGCATCAACTTGAAAAATGCATGCAGACCATAAACAAGTAGCGTTCCACGATGTGCAACAGCCACCGACAAAGCCACAGCCGCTTGTTTAAGACTGCAGACATTTACTCTCTCATAGCTCCTGAGACGGCAAGTCCCCTGTTGAGGTGTGGGCAGGGCCGCTCTCCCTCTGAAGCCCCCKGGAGGCGCTTTCCTTGCTCTTCCAGCCTCTGGCATGGCTGGTGATCCTCCAWGCTCCCTGGCTTGTGGCCACCTCCCGGCCTCTGTCCTGTTTTCACGGCCATCTTCTCCCAGGTGACCCTTCTTCACGTGCACCACTCCTGCTAGATCAGGGCCCGCCCTAGTGACCTCATCTTAGCTGGATCATCCACAAAAACCCTGCTCCCCARTAAGTCCAATGTGCTACTGGCAGCAGGTGGATGGTTCCTGTGTGTGAGGAAGGTCKCTGTACCTGCACCTGTCAGAGTGGGAGGGAGATAGCTGTGACTGGCCTCCAGGTGGGGGGCCTTGAGAGGCCATTCCCATATCCACCAGGAGGTGGCAGCGCGGGCATGCTCAGCTCCAAACAGTGGCAGAGTTCCACAGCTGGGGTGGATCTGCATCCAAGACAAAGTCATTATTTATCGTAGTTCCTGAAGAGGACTCAAAACCTCAGCTTGGAAGAGGAGATTCTTATCTTAATGTCCAGATGTTGTGATTCACCATTTCACAGAATCAAGGAGTCCCACTKTTTTGGTGTGTGTGTGGCGGAGGGGGACAGTGCTGGGGATTAAACCCAGGCCTCAAGACTCAAGCATGCTAGGCAAGTACCCTACCACTGAGCTATATCCCCAACTTAGCCCCACCTTTGACACTTGTCTGAGGGACGTGGGAGCCCAGGGTGGGCCCTCAGAGCTGCTGGGATTCTGCAGGTGTTGGCAACAGCTTCTCTGGCATGGGGGTCAGCATGCAACTTAGAGATAGTGGCATGCAGGGCCCATGGCCAGCCCCCTTCCAGTGACAATTGCACATGAAGCCAGTTCTCCAGTATCTCTCAGCCTTTCCCCACTCTGTGGAACCAGGGCTCTGACTTGGCTGTTGTTGTGAGCTCTGGTGCCACATTGCCCTTAATAGGTGCCTCTGGTGACCATGACAGGAGGAGGCTGAGGATAGGATGCACATGGCTATGGCCCCCCAAAATGCATGGCCTTCATGTGCAAAGTGCATTCAGCAAGAGAGCT